TGAATGCTGGACAATGTCAAAAATGAAGAAGAGACGTGAAGCAAAAAAATATCGTTCCACAGAAGGGTTCTGATGGTACCATAGACCAAAATGTGAGCAACGAAGAAGTTTTAGAGAAAATGCAAAAAACTGATACTTAACATCAGGAAAAGATAGTTGAACTTTCTAGGGCATGTATTGAGGAAAGAGGGCTTGTAAAATCTGATACTCACGGGACAGATTAAAAAGCTTGACACACATAGGAAAACAACGCATAAACCCCTTAGTAAGCTTGAGTAAGTGGATAACGGAAAAGGTTTTAGTAGAAATAAGTAATAGACAATATTTAGTAAGAAATACGAAGCACAGGAAGTTGTGGGGAGCCAAGATCGCTTACGTGCTGAAAGGGCACGGTACATAAAGAAGTGAATCTTACACTCAATTTCTTTTACGGCTACTTTAAATTGATGAGAATAATTGTCTCATTAGGACTTTATGTGGATGTTCTGAAATTGATGCCTTATGGCAGTCTAATATCAGCCGATCAAATATATCTAAAGTTGGAAAATAATGTATGTCAAATGAGCCAGATACAAGGAAGTGAAACTGTTTCATTTCTCAGGTTAGATTTCAACACAATTACATTTAATTATTATTCATTTCTTTCTATACTGTTTTCTATCTATCTATCTATCTATCTATGACATTTGTTTATATATATATGGAATCAATAAGCCACTCGACCATTTTGAAATTCGAACCTGAGTCTCATGGTCAGAAAGCATAAAGTAATTTCTGTTTTATAGTCGTGACTTTTTTCAACATTTTAAGTCACATATTATTTAAACAGGTTTAATAAAAAAAAATTCATTAATATTCATATTGTAGGATACACTCATTTGGATAGAATGTCTAGGCTTATTGATGGATAGTTCCATATTTCTGTGAGAGAAAGAGAGGAAGAGAGAATAAGATGGAGGAGTGCCGTGCCTATAATTTTGGTAACGTCAGGAATATAGAATGGGCATAGGAAATCGAATATGATTTGTCTACTTTAACAATTCGGAAACAGGAGAAAGTATTTGGTGGGAAATTACCAAGCCCCGAATCTTCTTACCTAGCAGACTCTTGGAAAGCGTTTCAAACATGCCGAAGAAGGAAATTAAAACAATGGCAGTCTTGGGACTTATTAATTATGTGATTGACGATAACTCATATATAGTAAAGGAGGAAGTAAATAAATTGATTGAATTGTGTCTTGAATCTCTATCATTGAATTGCATAGAGTTGCAACACAATTTGTCGAGCGGATGCAGGAAATGAAAGCAATAAATCTATGAAAAGAATAGCGAACTAAGACAATGCAAAAATGCTAATGACTGAAACCTAAACAATGAGTGTGAGTTCATCTTACTCGTTTAGTAAAATAGATTATAATTGAAATCAATGGATGTCCTTGTCCATTTTTTGTTATTATTGAGTCAGATTGGAAATCAAAACAATTTGTAAATCTTTGTGAAGGCAGTGAAAGCAAACTTGACACGTTACTTCGTCCAATAGAAATGAAAAAGAACATTCATATATAGCAATGAATTAAACTGAAAGGAAAGTTGACTTATACCTTCTCAGTTTAGCATAATAAAAGTGATATGTCCCGGAAAGGGATATATTTGAACGAAGTAACTAAGTGGTTTTGGCTACTATAACCAAGTAGAATATGGTAGCAGTAATCGACTGGTACGCGTCGTAGTCGCAGGTAAGAAGTGTAGATCAATGGCGTAGACCAATGGACGTCGTTATAGACTTAGCTCTCAGACTAAAGCTCTGACTCTCTTACACGTCCGTCGGTATGTATGACAGACACCAGCCAATCACACTCCAGTGAGGGGGAACACAGGTGTATGCATATTCCATTATATCAAAAAGTTATTCAAGATTATTGGTAAATGTTGATGCAAGTATTAAATAATTGATTGCTTTTCTCTATTTTAATTTATTAAATAATAATATAGTTTTCATCAATCGAGATAATATCCTAGTGGATTAAAGACTTAGTTTAAGAATCTGGTGACAGAATCCGAGGTTCACTTTCAGAGTCGGACATAAAAGAGAAAGAGACAAGTAATAATTGAGTGTTACTAAATAAGAAATAGACGATATATCCATAGACATGTACAGTGAAACTAGAACCATCGTACATTGAAAAAGTGGTTCGGGTCGAAATTTACAGAAGGTTACGTAGATTGAAATACCTCTGATGATGACCGGGGGCGCACGGCGGAAACGTTGTGATACATCAAAATAAAATGATATATTCTTATCCCAGACATTCAGAGAGAAACGTCCGAAACGTATGATAACAAGTTGAGTATACTGGTTCAAATTAGGCTCAAACAGTTAAAATAGAAAGCGTATAACATGCTTAAAGTTTACTTAATATATCAATTGTAGGTAAAGTAAAGCTAAATGAACGTAATTTTTTCTAGTCTCAAGGAAGATTATTCAAGTTAGACAACGAAAATAACTTTAGACACAAAGACAATAATACATGTTAGACCCAAAGAAGATAATTTCTTTTAGATTCAAGGACGAAATGGTTAGACTCAGCGAAGTAATTCCTTTAAGAGACAAGGAATATAACATTAAACTCAAGTAGTGAATTCCTTTTAGACTCAAAGACACACAACGTTAGACACAAAGAAGGGAATATAAGATTAAACTCAGAGAAGATAATTGCTTTGAAACTCAAGAGTGAAAAAAGTTACATACTAAGCAGTTAACTCCTTTTAGAATCCAGAAATATAACGTAAGACAAAGAAGTTAATTCATTTTAGTCTTAAGGAAGTTAACGTTAAACTCAAACAACATAATTCATTTTAGGTTCAAGGAATATAACGTTCGATTCAAAAAAGTTAATAACTTTTAGACTCAAGGAAGATAACGTTAGACTTAAATAAATTAATTCCTTTTGGAGTCAAGGAATATATCGTTAGACTCAAAGAAGAAAATGCTTCTGGACTGAAGGAAGATAATGTTAAACTCCAAGAAGTTAATTACTTTTAGACTAAAAGAAATAGAAGTTAAGCATAAAAATGTAACAATATTCTCAAGTAATATAACGTTAAACTCTAACAAGATAATAAATTTAGATCAAAGGAAGATAACGTTAAGCACAAAGAAATTAGTTCCATTTAAACTAAAGGAATATAATGTTAGACTCAAAGAACTAATTACTCTTGGACTAAACGAAGATAAAGTTAGAAACAGAGAAGTTAATTTCTTTTAGACTCAAGGAATATAAACTTCGAACTCAAAAAAGGAAATGACTTTTTGACTCAAGGGAGACAACGTTAGCAGTAAAGAAGTTAATTCGTTTTAGTCTCAAGAAATATAACTTGACACGCAAAGAATTTAATTCCTTTTAAACTCAAGGAAGATAACGTTAGACTAAAAAAGATAAATCCTTTTAAACTCAAGGAATATAAAGTTATTCACAAAGACGTTAATTCATTTTAGACTAAATGAAAATAACATTAAACTCAAAGAAGTTTATTACTTTTATACTCAAGGGATTAGCCTCTTTAAGTTAATTTGTTTTTGACTTTAAGATAGGTAAAGTTAGACCGAAAGAAGTAAATTCCTTTTAGACTCAATGAAGATAATTCCTTTTAGGCTTAAGGAAATATAACGTTAAGCTCAAAGATGTTTATTCTTTACAGACTCAAGAAATATAACTCTAGACTCAAACAAAAAAATTCCTTTTAGACTCAAGCTGTACAATAGATACAAAGAAGTCAATTGCTTTGAGGCACAATGGAGATAACATTAGACACAAAAAAGTGAATTCATGTGAAACCTATTTATACTCAAGGAATATAATACTAATTTTAGATGAGCTTTGATGTGTCAATTATCATAATACAAAGAAAAATCCATTTTACTGAATGTAATTTGTTTGTAGTAATATCCTTCTGTTACTTAAATTCATCATGCGACAAAGATATTCCAGATTACCCAACATTCATTAGTCTGATATAAATCAATTGGGATTAGCATCTATGACATTTTAACTAATTCTAAATACAAATTACCCAGTCATCACATGCGCACGTTGACTGGCATAGATACATAACGACTACAAATTTATTTCAGTTATCTCGAACTTTTAAACATATGATTTAAAATAACTACTCGAAGAGTAAGGTCAGTTATGAAAAACGATACGGCGTGAACACAAAATAGTTTCAGTTTAACTCTCTCTACTGGAATGAGAAATCAGGTCATGCAAGAATTTGGTGTGACCGCACAATATTCCGGATTCAGAGACAGGCTATAACCTCAGTGTTAACCCCGTCTGTTGCAATGCTTTCTCCTTTTACAGATTCAATATTCTAACGGTGGAATATTCACCATTTCACTTAGAATTTGGGAATTTCAATTCTATAGTCTTCGTCAGCTGTTTCTTGGCAAGCAGAAGAACTTTCTTTATTCCTTGAAGTTACTCGGCCTAACCTAAGTTAACCTACGATCTCTATCTCTCGTTTTGTTTCTCTCTGAGGATTGTGTCTACTTTTAAACAGTTTTACCTCGTTTTTCTTGGGAGTTCACTTTTATCAATTAACATTTTCAAAATAATATCGATTCTCTTTGATAGAAGTTGATCAAAAAGCTACCGCTGAAGACCGGTTTCGTCTGAAAATTAAGTTCAACAAAGTATCCTTCTTGTTACGTTTGGGAATCTTATATTTTTCTAATATCCGTAATCGTTGTGATAATTTAATTCTCAGAAGGGTCTTGTAAAAGCAATGTTTGCTTTGCTGAACACTATTGCCTACTCTCACCTCAATAAGTACACTCATTGTGAAAACATACATTTCGTTACACATTGGTACTAATGCTGCCAAATCGGTTTTCCAGTATGCCCTTCAGCAATATAGTCACGTGGTAGTGGATGCCAGACACTTCAGCAAATCTGTGTCTTTTTAGAGCAGTTTTTATTTTTAATCTATCAACCTATCTAGGTTTATCTATTACAGATTATTCACATCTATCTATCTATCTATCTATCTATCTATCTATCTATCTATCTATCTATCTCCCTGTCCGTTTTTTCAGACTATTCAAATTTATCTATCTATCTATTTGTAAGTCTGTCTGTCTGTCAATGTGTTTCAGACTATTCACATCTATCTCTCTATCTATCTACCTATCTATCGCATTCTGTTCAGGTCTATTGCAGAATATTCACATCTATCTATCTATCTATGATTCTATCTCATTCTCATCCTTATCTATCTTTCTATTTAACAAGATAGCTATCTTCCTACCTCGGTCTCTTCAGATCTCTCGCTCTCTCTCTCTCTCTCTCTCTCTCTCTCTCTATCTATCTATCTATCTATCTATCTATCTATCTATCTATGTACCTTTTAAAGTATTTACATTTAATGATAAATACGATATTTGATAATGAATTCAATAGATTTCATAGCCTGACTAGAGAGGCGACGTATTTGAGAAACTTAAAGTCTGAACATAAGTCATTTCAACTTTCACCTAATGAATACGTATCTTGTCACACAGATAAGACCGATGAATCCTTGGTGCGGCACACTCTGCTAGAGAATGAAACGTTAATTCTAAATATTTTAGGAAATAGCGATAAAACAATTGTGCTCCTCTATTTTCTAGTATTCAGAACTTTATTTGCAAAAGTGTGCTCGGCTCGAACATGTTAACCTCCAGTAATTTACAGGCTGACTTGTTTTGTTAGGTGTATGAAGTATTTGTAATCGTTTTTATATGATAAATGGTGGTCCAGTATAAATGTAACCCAAATAAATTTATGTAAGATTGTTGCTCTTATATTTCAGATTTAGAAAGTTGGGAAGATAGAAAAACTAGAACAACAACTACAATGCCTTTTACAGAACATAAAATGTTCTGTTTGCTGAGAAAATTGGAGGGACCTTCCCATAAACATGCCATCGCGAAATTCCGCAGAAAATATGACACGTATAAAACCCACAGCATTTACCGGTGGATCAAGAAGTTTAAGGTTACAGGAACAATAAACAAATGAGAAAAAAAGTCTCCAGCAGTCAAAGTTGACAGATAACCTACAGTAAGGTCTCCTGAAAACATAGCAGATGTCCGAGATACAGTAGGCAGGAGTTCGAAAAATTCCGCCCGTAGAAGGTGCCAGGACCTTGGCCTCACCAAATCCTCCCAAAGAGGTTATCTGAAGGATCGAGTCTACAGGAACAACCAACACACCATCTCAGAGGTAAAAGCAGTAATTATTCAATAAATCAGAAAAAGAAGTGTGCATCAAAATCATCGACAACTTCACCCGTAGAATTCAAGTGTGTCTTCAGCAGAACGGAGCACATTTGGAGCATATTCTATAAATGACGATAAAATCTTTGCCAGTAGAGCTAGTGACATTTTATTTGCAGCAGTAGATTTGCTAAATTCTCTTGTTTTCAGAAATATATGGTTTGTAAAGAGAAAATAAATGGCGTTCACATTCTTGGGTTATATTTATTCTTGTACACCGTATATAAATAAATATGTTTACTTTTCACTATGACAATTATTTTAATAAGATAAAAATGGGAAACCTGACTAATTAGAAACAAGGAAGTATTGCAAGAGTGCAACACTTTAGGGATGCAGATAAGGCGCGTGTATATCCTGGGTTAAGTACATTATTAAATATCTAAGTGCAACATACATTTTCTTTATATTAAGACTTTCCCGTGTTAAATACGTAAATATTACTGACAATGAAGGCTTCAACCTTTTGGGTGTATGTATTGGCAAGTTAACGTATCTAATCGATATCTACATGCGAAAAGTTTAGTTTTTGTATAAAATGAATTAAATCAGAACTATACCAAAAGAAGAATGCATCATATCGACAACTTCGCTAGTGGAATTCAAGTGTGTCTTCAGCAGAACGGAACACATTTGGAGCATATTTTATAAATGACGATAAAATTTTTGCCACAAGAGCTAGTGACATGTTGTTTGTAGCAATATATTTGATAAATTCTCAAGTTTTCAGAAATAGTTTGTACATAGAAATATATGATTTGTGTATAGGAATATATGGTTGGTATATGGCTTGTAAACAGAAAATAAATGGCATTCACATTCTTGGGTTACATGCTTTCTGCTTTGCTTAATTTTTTCATGGCATCTTTTACTATTTTATCATTCCTTAAATTTCTTTTTCTCATTTTTGTAGTCCCTGGGTATGACAATAAACGGCATCTGGCAGCAAGGCCTCTGATCGGGGGATTGGAGGTTCTGAGGAGTGTGGAACAACTTAATTGCAATTGTTCCCAGGTCCACTCTGACCCGTTGTTTGTGCACCTGTCAGGCTTCCAGCTATGGAAAAATAGCGAACCCTCAAAAGAAGTAAAACTATGGAACTATAAAAATAGATTTTAATAGTAAAAATACCAGCAATACATTTAGTAAAATGACCAACAATAAATTTCATCTGCAGCTGAAAGCATACAATTGCGAATATAATTACTTGAAGCCATAAAACTTTCGAATTATTTAGATTTCGGTATTAAATAAACTCCAGTGGTTGATATGCGGTTAAACAAAATCAACCAAAGAATTAGTATGAACTCTTTTATTTCATTACTTGATGTGTATATTACTCTTTTTGAGAGGTAGGTACACATCTACTTATCATCTCAAAATTGCGTCTTTGTCTTTGGGCAGAGTGTGCTTAGGGGTTTCTCTATCAAAGGACAGAGGGGCAACTGAGGAAAATCATACTGAAGAGGTGCCCAGCCCTGGGGAACAGCTGCCCGAGGCCGTGCCCTCCCATTGCACCAGAGGGAGGGATCAGTGCTCACACCGACGCCCGGGCAACCGACGGTTGCGGGAGCTGAGGACAATTTTTGTCCCTGTCCCGGTTGTTTACGCACTATGCCCATGGTTTTCTCAGAATCTTTCTGTAGAACCAAATTTCTCTGATTCCGTCATTTGTGAGTAAAAAGCGCAGCATTAATTGCTATATAAGACGATTGCTATATAAGACGATTGATATTATATGGAAGTTAAGAATTGTTTTCTTTTTCTCCAACGAAACAATTCTTACTACTTTGCTTAGCTTTCGAAATTCATCATTTGCCATTCCAATGCAACTTCGGATTTCGGTGTCACATTTTCTGTTAAAGCACAGTCAGATATTTAAACTGAAATGAAATAAGAATATAATATTCCCTAGGTGATACAACTTTCCTAACATAATTTTGGTTAATTACTTCATAGGTACAATTTGACAATTTACCTGAGAATAGAGATTTTCGAAATTCAAGAGGACCCTTTTATCATTGTAACCGGTTCGCTCACCTCTGTGATTAGGAAAACGTCTTAATTTGGATTTTAATTAGTGAGCAATTTTCTTTACCACTATGAGGCATGAAGAAGTAAGCCATTATAATTCTTTGAAGAACATTTTAGTTCATTCAATCACTATGCGAACGAGTCACCTGAGGTCGTTCCATCACGATATAAAACCATTCTTAAATCTAGAGACATTTCTCCTTTCTGCTAACATTAAAAATGATCTGTCATTAACAATAAATGTCAATAGAAGAACGAAATAGTCTTTCAAGAGTAGAAATTCCCAATGAGTGGCAAATCGAATTACCTAAAATAAAAAAAAGCTTCCACAGGTATAGCAAGTCACTATGTATTCGTTTGCGTCATTCATAATATCCATTTTTTTCGTCAAATTTATTCTCCAAAAAATAATGTACAATCATATTTTATGCTATTATATATATATATATATATTCACCATTATTTGCAGTGACTTGCCGATACTTATCAGGCAGCACTGCGATACATTTTAAGTGAAATTCTGCAGGCAATGATGGGAAATGGTTACGAAGAATTCTTGAATCTGGTTTACTTAAAAGAATGTTTACTTCATCAAAACGTTCTGCAGAGACTAAAAATGGTTATAATCCTCTGATGCATGTTCAGATCCCCATAACGAATAGGTTAGAACAGACCGACCGAGTTCCAAAAGTTTTCTTTTTTGTTATAATTTTTTTACAGTAAGGTCCACTCTGTACCAACACGGGGCCACTCGAGATAGACGGTTATGTTAAGCGGTAGTTTAGATAGATAACGGTTAACTCTAGACTTGAACAGGTTAAAGTTGTAGCAATTGAGAGAAGATTCTCTTGGCAGTCGGTTCCACAGGACAATGATTAACGGGAAGAAGCTGTTTGAGTGGAACTTCTCGCGGATGGAGTTTATGTTTTTTGCTACAATGAGAGTGGAATGTCGGGTTTAGCCGTGAAGGTCAAAACTGGTAGAATCAGGAAATGCAATTCGTCCGAGCTCTTTCCATTGCGATAGAGACTCACCATATCCCTCCTGTGAGAGAGAGAGGTTCGAGGCTGGGAAATAATTCTTCTCCAAAAAGGACTTTGAGACGTTTTTGAATTCTGTCAAAACTGGAAAGTGAGGACCGGGCAGCAGTCCTCCATTTTTGCCCTGATCTTGCTCTTATAAGGGTAGAGGATAGTATGATGCGTTAGGCACTTAATGGAAATCCCTAGTGAATGCGACGTTGCGTTATCATGGAGGATGACAAAATCTTTTCTTTGTTCTACCCTGTACATTACCTCTGCTACGCAAAATCTAAAATAAGTGTCATTCAAATTTATTCTTAACTGCAATATATGACGAGTAGTTATATTGATACATGCCTCAATACAAAATGTCCCTAAAAATGGAAATTAATTATGGCTCAAAGTAAAAACTGTTGATAACATATGGAACGAATGAAAACACGATAATAGAGAAATACTTTCGTTTCTCGCTCTCAGTAATCACTAGCGACTCGAGGATATTATTCGTATAATTTCGAAGTTTTAAAAAAATCGTTTTCAGAAGAATTGCTATAATCCGCCCGGATTTCACGGGTGTCGACTAATATACTTGAAGCTCTTTTACATCCATTGCTTTACAGCTTCCGTTTCGAGTTTTCATACAGTTTTAGATGAAGAGATGAATAATTCGCCATATTCCAGTGAAAATTAAACAGCTTCCTCACAGATAATGCAGAGACTTGAAGCGAGACAGAGAAAATGGTGAGAATTCTCGAGGCCCAAAATAGGAGGAAGCAAGAAATCTTTAAAAAAAAATAGGAAAAAAATGATAGTATCAGTAAAAGAGAATTGAAATATTTTATCAATATCTGAATAAGGACAGAGAGCGTAGCGAATTTAACCTTCACAGGGCACACTGAAAGCAAGAGAAGTAGGGATAAGCATCGAGTAACCTAGTTAAGTAGTTTGGTTGAGTAGAAGGCAGAACGGGGACAAAGAGGTAGGGGAAAGGGTGGAGGACCATGATCTCGCAAACACCGAAGAGTAATGGCATAGAAAAAAGTGCATAAACATCTTATGAAGGCGTAAGATA